CACAGCTAAGCAGCCATCCAAGAAGGAAAAACAAGCAAAAAACTTAAAAACAGCAACAAAGAAAAATATTTCCTGTCCTTTGAATACCAGTCAAAGCTAAATACACACTCAGTCAATCTCAGTGTTGGTATTTACCTGAAATACTGCCATTTACCTTCTCAAATAGCTTAGTAGTGACTCAGAAGAGAATCCAAATACTCTTTCTTATCTCAAAAAATTAATTTTAACTTTAATTTTTTACTTTGAACTTGAGCTTATGTTTACAGTGTTGGAAAAAATAAAATAATCCTCTGAAACTTAAAACGTGAGTCATCAGATAAAAGGGAGCAAAGTGTGTTTCTGTTCCAAGCTTTACATCATTGAAGGCAAAATGAGTCAGAAAATAGCTAACAAACTTTGCAAGTCAAATACATAAAGGTAACACAGACTTAAGTCGGGCTCAGGAATACAGAGAAATCCCTCCACAAGTTTTAGTCAATGGTTATTCATTCTAGTCTGTCACACCACATTAGTGTGGCAACTCATCTCCAGCTGGTCAAAAGAGACAAGGCAGGATTAGAGCATGATTAAATCCGTGTCTCCTCAACACATCACACTTGCCCTCTTCATCAGTCTTAGGCCCGTTGCAGTGACAATTTATGTTCAATACCTCAGCCATATAGATCCTGAAAAATATAAAAACCATCTGAAACACTAACTTCACTGCCTCTTTTTTTCGCCTTTTTTGCCCTTTTTGCAGTTTTTGGACTGGTAAATTACGTTTCTGCCTTGCCAATGGTTTCATTCCTTACTAGAAACTAGGTTCCTTGGCACAGCTATCAGCTAGCATACAGAAGTAGCTATTTCTGTTCTTTTAAAAAAAGATAGTGGGAACACATACTGGACAATACAGATGCTTTCATATGACACAGAGACTGCTTAAATTTAGCTTAGCATTGTATGAAGTTTAAAGAGAGGGTAGTAAAGTAGTTCGCACATTTTCAGCGGCAAGGACTTTTAACAAACCTTTCTTACAGCTCAACCGTTTGCTTCTAGCCTTAGGACAGCAGGGAACTTGTGAAGCATCTAAAAAAGTCACTTCTGCTTGTTCAGAGAAATATTAAATTATAAAAGGAAACTGTGTTAGAATCTAATAAAAATACTGTGAAATCTCATCAGATTACAGATTAATAAACTGCAGCAGGAAAGAACAGACTCTCACAGGAGGAGTTCCTGCATGTTAAAGCATGCAAATGTATTTTGCTTGCTCTGCTGAGATACCTTTTTAAAGTGTTGAGGTCTAATAACATGGAGATTTTTTTCATTTTTTTTTGTTCTTCTCAGTTCTGTACCTTAGAATAACACTTCAGTTCTCAAAAATGTACCCAAAAATGGCAACCGTGTTTTGCAGGTAAGGTAGTGGAATACATATATTTTTTGTGTATGCATATGCATGTACAGAGACACATGCTTATGAATGCATGCTAGTATTTATAAACAATAGTTCCATGTACACACATGTAAGCACGCAGACAAGCAGTTCAAATACCATTGTTGCTTTAGTCTTCCATGTTGGTCAGTACAAACGAACATTTTCAGTTAAGGACTATATAGTTAAGGTTTATGAATTCCTTAACAGACAGCAAGTTAGTTTAGAATAACAGTCTTTCAGATTTAATCAAAATCAACAGTACCACTTTAGTTTATACAACTTCTTAAAAATTTATGATATGCATTACTTTTTTAAATTTTAGAATATTTGATTCAAATTTAAGCAAATAAAGATACTTTTCAGGCTGACAGTTGTATTTACATAATACATATATACACATATACCCACGCTTAACTCTTTTAACCATTTATGTCTGACAGCCTGCGTTCAAACAACAGACTGTTCTGGACACCATTAAATATAAAGAGCAGTTAACTTTACTTTAGCAATTAAACTGGCATTACTTTCAAGCCTGTAATCAGAATTACAAGCAATCATATACAGCAGAATGAAGAATGAGTAATCTGCAATCTAAATTACATGTTCCAAGAAAAGGAGACCTCATATTTTGCATAAGCAACTGCCTTAGAAATGAAGTGTCATAAACAGATATCTGCAATGAATTGCACAATACCTGCAGTGTAGTCCATTAAATTGCATACTGAGAACAATCAGTTCTCCAGACTAAGAGATCAGCAAAAACAATGTTCTTTTACAGGGAGGAAGGGACCTAGCAAACAACATTTGGAAATAGTGTTTCAATTTGATTTACTTTTTGTTCCATATGTTCTTAAAAACTAGCAACTGCCTCATAATCATGTTTCCAGTTAACTTATGAACAATAGTTTTTGCAGTAGAAGCTGATTCATTATTTCACTTCACTCTGAAAGACAGTCACTATTACAATAAATCTGTAATTCATTAGAAACAGGAAACTGACTTAATTCTGTACTACTATTCCTTTAGAGTCAAGAGTAATTCAACCATGGACTTCATTTCTTATTTAACAACTAATAATCACGTATTCTGATCAACAATATCAGGTGCTGTTCATATTTTCTCTGGAAAAGTTCAGAATTTTTTTTTCTAAAAAATAAGGAACAAAAAAAGTTTCGAAACTAAAACTAAAATCTCTTGGATAGAAGACACAGATTTCAAAGTTTGTGTAAGAGTAAAGACTCAGAACCAACAGCTGATATTTAACAAGAGAGAGTAAAAATGCATACCCTTTTAACTATTTTAAGGATAGCCTAAAGCTTCTGAAAACGTTTGTTTGCTGTCAGGACCACAAATTATATAAATCCTCTACAAGCTGTTATGCCATTTTGTAACTAGGCACATAGGTAAATTTCAATCTGTTGAGAAAGATAAGGTGGGCATTTATATTATAATACCTTAAGGAGAAAGGCTAAAAGGGGTGAGGTTGCATTGTTCATTCTGAACAATTCATCAAGCCAAAACAATGCCAGTGCAAAGACGAAAACACACAACTACTGAAGAACACATTTTAAGACTCATTTCCTCTACGTGTTTTCTTAAAACATAAAGAAAGCAGGAATTGAGATGACTATATATCACGCTTCCACACCACTGGCTGCGTAGCCACCAAAGACGCAAACACTGGACTGATACCTTCTCATCTCTTGAACTTATCCCTGTAGATTTTACCGTAGCCTAATGCTCACATTTACTTAATAAAAGCATGTTCAGCATCTATAGCTTGTACATTTTTACCTATAAAAAGTTCAGTTCACTGCTTCCACAGCATTCTTTCCACATTTGCAAATAAATGAATTTAACCCCAAAACATTTTCCTGCCTGGAGCTTATGCCAAAGGCAATATCCTACATGGTCTCATTTTTGTATGCAGATATTTAAATACATTTTAAAAAATTATTAAAGCAACAATAATTTTTTAGAACATATATTTATTAGGTTTATCTTAAAAAAAATTAAAATCTTAAATTTCATTTCAGACTCCATTGAATTTGTGCAAGAAACACATCTTGGTCTAGGCAAATAATCTTAACACTAGCATGAGCTGAATACTAATACCAGATCCTATTTCTACGTTTTTACCCAAAAACTGTTATATGCTTTTATCCATTAAGCTACTGGAAAGCAACAGTGGTTTCACAGATTATTTGCTTAGCTCATTTGACTTCAAAGTTGCCATTCACTCAGGTAATTAATATTCTTGACAGACTTGAGATACGCAAAAAAGGTCTCAGATACTGGACATAATCCCATCATATCTACTAAGGCAATCATTCTTCTAACCTGAGTAGGATCAAGAAGCACTTAAGTACAGAGTCACAATATTTAAAGGCTCAAGTGTCAAATGGAATCTTTTGGGTTTTTTTTTTCCTCCTTCCTCTTGTAAGAAACATCCGAAAATTAAAAATCTGGTAAATAAATACACTCTATTTTAGTAATCATATGCTCCCCAAAGCTAAGAATGCTACCCATAAGTTCTTAATAAGGTAACTGCCTGAACACAAGTTAGACAAGCACTTAATGCTAATCAACTAACACCAGTATGCTGAAGCACATTTCTTCAACTTACTTTTTATTTAAAGGTTTAAAATAAGTGCCTCGTACTACCATAAGATTAACTTGAAACATGACAAGTTACTACTTCTCACGCTGTGCCAGTTTTGAAGACAACAGAAGTACAATTTTACGATTAACAGCCAGAGTTACTCTAGCAGGAGACAACCCAACTTAGCCAAAAACCCACTACCATTAAGTAACATGTATGGCCCTCTAGAGCTGTTACATTTGGTTGTTCAGTGAACACAGGCTTCTTGAATTTGGAGACAAATAGTATTGCTCAAGATAATATTCCTTCCAGCTTTTTTTTTTTTTTTTTTTAATACTACTTCAGTATGGACTGTGCAGTCTAAACAATACACTATGATGCTGCAGAAAGATGACACTTTGCCTGTGCTTAATAATAAGTATTATTTAATATCACAAGGTCATTCTGGATATTACTGGCCGATTCCCCTTGGGAATAGCTCAGTATGCTGTTCAACTAAGGGGGAAAAAGTTTGCATATGCCAGCTTTAAAATGACAGAACTGATGTATAGAAAAAGTACTATGGAGGAGAAAAAAATAGACCACAGCGTTGCTGTCAAGTAATTTAATTCCAGTCCCTTAAAGTTCCTGTGTGATTTAAGAATATCAGTGTATTTTGAATAGATGAAAGATGAAATTAGAATAGAAGAAATCCTCCTAGGATCTGGATTTAAAACAAATTTCCACCGGGAAACCACATGAAGGATTCAGAATCCTTTACCTGCTAATATTTAAACCTTGTGATACTTAAAACAGTTACAGCCATACCTCCCCAATCACTTGCAAAAAGTGCTTCCAAATCCAGTAGAAGATAAACCTAATAAAATCGTCAATTACACAAGCATGATAAAAACTATTTCCAGCCCCCCCCTTTTGTTTTTTTAAAAAAGGGAAAGCTTGCAGTTTTCCATGTCATTTAACATTTGAGAGACTGGGAGGACTACTTACTCAAGTCAAGAACATCATCTGTCTTTATTAGATCTTCCTCCCTTGTTAGTGGTAACTGAGTTTCTGGCTCGTCTCGCAGATGCAGTGACAGTGAACGGAGCATAAAGAAAACTCTGATTGCCTTGAGAAATTAAGAAAACTGAATATTAAAATACTGCTGCACTCAGTGCAAAGTGTTTTAACATAATCTTGCAAATATATACCCACTTTTATAACCCCTGAATTTGCTGACATGCAATAAGTCTACTTTTTAAAATGAGAAAACATTGCAAATTCAAAAGTTAATTAAAAAGAACAGAAAAAGTTGAAACATGGGCCATTTATTTTCAACTAAGTAGAACCAGTAGAGAGTTTATTCCATTGATACAATTATACATCTTGTGACAAAAGCAAATGATTACAGAGCTGTTTAAGCAAAAAGCTGTCAATTGTGGGATTTTTTTCATTACTATTTTAAGTCTGATTGTATCTACTAGACCTGTACTCTTTACATATAACTAAATAACCAACCTTCAGAGGCCCTTGCACTTTGGACTTGAAACAGTGGAATGACTAGAGTCAATCAGAAAAGTTATGATGTATAAAAGTTTGAGAGAAAACACTGGGGTTTTTTGAGCTTTAATTTGCTGGATCATCTAACACTAACTTGATGCAAGACAGCATTCTCCAAGAACTTCATCCTTTCATCCCTCTCTAGAGGTTCACACCAGGGCAAAGGATTCCAGAAGCTGTGCTAGTCCCAAAAAGCTTTCTACAGCTGCTCTGTGAAACTGATATTCCTGTTTTGATTTAGACATTAATGACATATGGTATATAAAAAAAAAAATAGATAAAGTGACAAGGAACAATTGTTTCATTAGCCCGTTTTTGAAAAACATCATTTATAATCCTCTGCAACTACAAGAATTCTGTTTTTTCAGTATAGAAAATGATTTTTCATTTGCTAACGCTATAGTATGTACATTTGTTTAAATAGCTTCCTACATAGGAATTCTGTAAATTGACTGCTGGTTTACCGTAAAAGCATCAAATTCATGGAATAGCTGCAGTGCCCAGGGAACTCCCAGCTTGCAGGAAAGTTTCGGAAAAAAACAACCTAAATCACTTTCAAGAAAACCCCTTCTCTCCTCCCTATTTTTAAAGGCAGAACAACTACGGTTACTGAGAAGCTAGAGACATAAGTGCTCTGCCTGTCATGTTGGTGATGCTTGCAAAAACTTTTGGTAAAAGAGGGATGAAAAGAGGAAAGCTGTGTAATTGACTCTTCCATGATTTGACATGAGAGTGGGTGAATTTGGTAAGCTGCTGAAATCTTAATAGGTGAATATTATTATTCAGTGTTGGGGGCAAGAGGGAGAGGAAGAAATTGTACTCCAGAATGAACAGACTAAGAAGGTCTGAGTAAACACTGTCGAGGATATCTAGCAAAAATATAACACTAACACTACTTCATGAATAAGAGTAGAGGCATTTTCTAATGGGAGATCTCAAGTTTGTAGAGATCACATTCAAATGCACTGTGAATTTCCTTAGTTAAACAGATTATAAAGCAGTTTCTTCTACTGGACGTTTTAAGAAAAAAAATCATTATGTTGGGTTTAAAAGTCTCTAAATTCAATCAAGAAGAGTAACATCTTTGCATTTTTGTTAACCCAATAGTTAAGCCCAAAAGTGTTTTAATTCAGGGAGCAGCCATTACTTGGCCTGCCTTTACTCACTTATTCCTCAACCTCCTTTCCCTCCTAGACAGGGGAGGGGAATAAAAGCATAAGAATAATTTAATATGAACATACTTTAACAAAATAAGTGAGAGATTTCTCCAGGCACGTGAAATGCAAGAAGCCCACTATCAAGTCATACTTCATCTTCTGTGAAAAATCAAGACCAAGATACCATCTAATCAACAGATTAACAGTACAGATCTACCAGAGCTATAGTGAAAATAACAATTTTAAAATGATTTAAGTTTAGAATACCAGAGTATTATAATTAGAAAGCCTCACTGAGCACTTTGGAAAAGTCAGACACATCCTTACTAGGGTAAGCAATTAGAAGTCTTTATGGCCAATCAGCATTTTGTTTGTTGTAGGCAGAATTATCCTGATGAAGAGTTTAAAAGTGTACTCAAAATGCATCAGATGAAGAACAAAAATGTATTTTTTTTTTAAGAATTGTCAAACAGGAGGAAGTGATGATTTTTCTGACACTAACTACATGGAAAAAAAAATAAAAAAATCAGTACTTGTCTTGCTTTTATCATGAGAAAAATTTCCGTACAGGAAAGTCACAAGTCTCTCAGAGACCACAACATTTTATTCCATTCATGAAAAGTCACATATAAAGCCTTTGTCTCCTTAGGAATAAAACCACTGACACTCACTGAACAAACTTCATGCAGCAAAATTAAAGGAAAGTGCACAAAAGATGTTGCTCTGATCATGACGATTGGTTGACGACAGACAAGCTCAAGAAGGTTCCTAGTAACCCATAAGTAATCTAGCAAGTCTGATAAAGCTGTGTATTAAAAAGACCTGTTGAAAACAGTGGCTTGGTATCCATATTCCTCACACTGCCCTGAAACTTACAGCATTTTGCTATGCATCCACAGCCCTACTATTTAAGAATTAGCAATTTATTTTTTATTCTATTCTCTACTTAAAAGAGTCAATGGTGACAAAGTTATTCATCTTTTTAGGCCTAGACTGGCTCATTCAGTTTACAAAGATTTAATTTTCTTCAAGGATAGAGAATTATCAATATAGAATTAAATCTTAAATCAGGAACTACTCAAAAGTTTTTATCCCATTCAAATTTTTCTATATTGTCTAGAAATCAAGGCAGAGCTGAATATCCATTCAAGACCTTTCAGCTTTCTTCTGAGCAGCTGAATCAAAAAAATCCTATCCAGGTCCTGAGCTGGCACGAACCATGGTGGAAACAGTATCAAGCAGGCAGAGCCGTATCTCCATCTGAGGTTGCAGCATACAGAACAGTATTTTTCAAATCTTCTCATTTGGTTTGTGGGCCCCTAAACATTACTCAGTGCAATGTGGGAATATGCTGTTCTGCATAAGAAAAAGAAAGCATTCTATTTAAGCTCTTTAAGCAATCTGTCACCACACTACAGTCAGCTGCCTCTCAGACATCTACTGAGGCAAGAGACAGAAAGGCAGCCATCATGATTACACACTCTTTACAGTACATCATACATTATATTCAGTACAGTCACATAAGAGCGAGCTCTCTGTGCAAGAGATCTCATTAGAGTTTTTTCCAAACCTAGATGCACAAGTGTGCTACTGAGAACATTCATTACCACATTTATGCCAATTGTTACGCTACTTTTCACCTGGTCCTCTGTCATAGGAGAACACACGGATTACAGCAGAAAGACACTGATACAGTTCCTCTTTCTTCCCTCCCTCTCTCTCTCTCTCTCCACATCACAGCATAAGACTATTTTACAAGGGCTTCACAATAATCAGAAATATTAACTACCCAATTGATTAGTTTTAATGCAAGTGAAACACAGGCAAGAATCATGAACCCTGCAGCTCTGAAAAGTTATCAAGCTGTATTAAAAGTATTCTGCTACCACTAGCCTTTTATCCCTGTAATAGAAACTCTAGAAGATTGTAAGGTAAGGAAACAAAGAATAATTAGGCGAGAGTGCTTTTTCTGCAACTTTTGTCTTGCAAAACGGTGTTAATTTTCCTTGCATGCATTCCCTACGAAATCAATGCCATTCATCTCAAATCATATAATGATATTTACTGCAGAATAATCTACAGGAGCAGGAAAGAAAATTAGAATTTTAGCCTTTGCAAAAAAACAAACTCAGCATAGATGAAAAGGGACTCCATGCTTCCTATAACACTGATAGCCCTCAATCTCCTAGCCATAACCATATAAATCCAAAAGTATGGGAGCTGGGTACTTTCTAACACTTTCAGACCACAATGTAACAATAGAGCTGTTTTCAGCTGACCCCTGTTTTCTAAGAATATATTTTCACAAACTTTGGTTAAAAAGGAACAAATATGAACGGCTATCTTCCCTAAAGAACTAATGCGTTAAGAGGAGATATACTTTGTGTTGATTCCTCTATATACACATACTATTTGCAAAGAAATAACAATGTGCAGGGAGACATCCCAATATCTTCTTATACTCCTGACAAACGGCATCCTCAGAGGTAGTTCAAGACCTCTCAAAAATCTCTGCTATGTACTCCAAAATGCAGAGTTCAAGACCCATTCTATCCACTACTTCCCAAAGAAGCACATAAATGAGCTTGCATTACTCTAGGTGACTGGCAAGCAATACCATTTTTAGGACTAAACCAAAAGTAAAAGCTGCAGACCGCAATCGGACTATCACAAATTCAAAAGAACATCTGATTCTGGACAGAACGCTTGATCAGGCACCAGCAGACTGTTTCAGAAAGCAGCCTTACAAACTAACATTTGCTAACATTTAACATCTTAAGTCAAAGAGGCTGGCTGGCTGGACTTTGAGATGAGCTGCTGAAAACTCTTGAGAGGTATCCTACTTTTGAAAGTTCTTCCTAAAGTCCTTACAAGAAAATGAAATGTCACTTAGAGGAACTTTCTACAGTAAAATAAGAAGAGAATCTAAAGAGGTAAGCGGTATGTATGGTTACTCTAACAAGTAAGAGCTATGGATATAAATAAAGTATGGGACGACTTCAATTGTTGAAGAAACAATTTGTTGACAACTTTTTTGAAATCACATCACGAAACGCTCATAACTGAATCACTATACCTCTGGAACTGTCAGCAGAAAACACCTTCTGGAGATTAAGCAGCAGCAGTGCCACCATGGAGGCCCCTGAAGTAAGTAGCTATGGAATAAGAACGCTAATAAATTCTAAAAATTCTGAGGCAATGTGATCAAGGGAAGGAGCACTGACAACAGTTTCTAATGAAAGAGAGCATTTGAGGAGTTCATGCTGATGAGAAAGACACCCCACCCCAGCCCCCAAAGAGGGCATAATTCCTATTTACAGGAATATTAATATTTATTTTTGAATTTCCATAGATGGGAGTTATTTCTTACTTAGCACAAGGAAAACCACGAAGCAGCTTCCATTAACAGACACTTCTAAGTAGTGTTCTCTTAAATGCCTCAGAGAATTCTAGGAAGCTTTTTTTGCTTTCTAAGAATTATACTGTTCAAGTTAATTCACAGTACTTTATCAAACTTAAATTGCTGTGATAACAAGCAGTGATAACAAGAGTTGTGTGGCTTATAATTAGTATTGAAAGCAAAAGTATTCAGAAGATTCCTGGAAATATCTTTTTTCTTCAAGAGTACTTGAACGTGCTTACACAGAAACAAGCATAAATTCAAAGCTACCCAAAGAACATTGCAATTCTCCTCATGAGGAATGAGAACCATCTATGAGGAATACTCATATGCCTTGAATTATTCTTAATACTGAACAAGAACTTCCTAGATCATAGTTTTCAGAAAGAAAGAAATATCTGTGCGCTTCAGTCAATTCACTATGCTGTAGTTAGCGTCAAAGCACCTTCAGTTACTGAAGCCATATAATTTTCTGTAAACAGCACTGAAGCTTTCCTTCATTAGCTTTTAAAATATTTTCCTTCAACCAGAATCCTAGAGATATACAAATCACTTCATTATAAGTTGACTCTGTCCTGCTTCTTTGTCATTTCTTCTTAAGCAGTGTAGCCTTTCCACCCACTGGCTTCAACAATCCAACTCACATATTTACTCCCTAAATCCTTGCATTCAAAATTGTGTCTTCCAATACTATGAAGATCATCATGCTGTCCCTTCCTACCCCTCCCCTACACATCACGAGCCTTCAAAACGCAATACTTTTCCCTCTATTTTACCATACAATAATTCTTCCTTTTAAACAACATAAAAGGTTATGTCCACACTACTTTTTCAGTCAGACAGGAACTTGCTTTGCCCATACCCTGACTGGATAGAAATAACTCTAAACCAGGTATCATGTCACTGAATTAGTAATGTTGTGCAGTAATATATCTTTAAGACTTACCGGCACTAAAGGGCTTAGAGGACAGTGCCAGATAAGGACCAAGAAGTGACTACCCCAAGGTTGTTGATAATAAATAAATAAATAATAACCACATCATTATGTCAGCATCACCTCTACAAACTGTTACAGTCATTAAAACATATATTCTGCTATGTCTCTCCTCACTCCCAAAATCTCTGCTACAAATTACTCCACCAAGAGAAACACTCTAGTGCAGAACTTTATTTTTGCTATGTCTACAAATACAACCAAAATGGAGTAACCCAACTAGCTTTCAGTTGGAGATTTTGATTGTGGGAATGTAATGAAAGATAGAGCGAAATCTGAATCAGATTCAGATCAGAACCAGGAAATCAGAAAGAAAACTGTCAATATATTAATGAATCTCATATCAAAAATGCCTTTTCACGTAGATGTCTCCACTACCTAACAATGAAAACCGTAGTACGTATTAAAGCGACTAGATAATAGAAATTAGAGAGAAGGCACTTCTCTGCTGGGACAGGTGAAAATTAGATGGTCTAAACAGGTCTGTCTGCACTTAGTTCTTAAGATTTTATAGATGAAGATTTCAATCAAGCAGCTTTCAAGGAAAAACGTTTGTATTCCTAGAACTGCTCATCAGTGGTATTATCCCACTGTGAAAGAAAGAAAGATAGCCTTACTCACTCTTCGTGTCCTTTCCACATCTCCACAGGGCAATCTTTTCACAAAATCGATACCAGTCAGTGGCGTCCCCGTTGGAGGCAACAGAATGGAGGCATCCATCATCAAGTACTCAACATTCATGGGTTTAATCTATGAAAATATTTTTACATTTATTACTATATAGCACAATAGAAGCTTGTACCTTGACTTTCAAATGTACAACACGGTTGCATATTTTGAGAGGAAGGAGTTATTAGAGCACTCTGAGAATTTTTGATGCCATACATGTTATTTTAAGCTCTTTGCATGCAATCTCTATTTTACATTTGCTCATTGGTCCCTAACAGACTATTGCAGTTTCCACGCTGACAAGTCAGAGTAAGAACTGAAAGATTATATAGTAAAAAAGCTGTTTCATGATTACTGAACACTAAAGCCTCTATCGTGGTTGATTACAAGTTTTGACTCAAATTTTTCTTGTGCTTGAAGCAACTATAAAAGTTTCTTGTTTCTTTCTTTCTCTCTCTCCCTGCCCTCCCAAAAAAGAATTCTCTAGTCCCTAATAACGCAAAAAATTTTACATATTACATATTTTTCTTCAGTCTTACCACTAACAGAGTCTCTCTCTTACATGGTTGCTTATTTTCATGAATTAACTGTGTTTGAAATATTTATCCTTCCGTATAACTTGGATGAAATTGCCCAAAGTTATTATATATATGTCCGCTGAACACACAAGCTTCTTTTTGCCAGAAAACAAGATGAAATGGTTGAAACATATTTAAAATCCCTTCCCTTGGTTGTACAACATTCTGCATAGAAGGCCAGTGCACACACGTGGGCATTCTAAGATAGTCGACAGAACCTGGAAGCGTTCCTGTCAACTTTGCAATGGCCAGATACTACAGAATGTTTTAAACAAACTCTGAAACAGGAACTAGAATTTACACAGTGCGGTCTTAAGCTGCTGCCTTTCACACATAGCAACTCAAAAATAGTCTGTTAGTTAGTTTAAAGGATCTAGTCTCATGGCAATCCATATTCAATGTCTAAAATGCTGGATTAACAAATCCAGTTAACATGTAGAAAATCTAAAACAAAAATCTAAATAGATGACATGAGACAAATGAGAACACAAAACTAAAAGTTCTAACAAGCAAGTAAATGAGTAAGTACAATTCACATGAATGTACACTGGTTTAAAATGTTGAAAAAAATTAAGCTAATCACTGAAAGCAAAAACCAAAAAATAGAGACAAAGTACTACTGTATACCATTTATTTGCTCCTCTGAACTCAGTTTTAACTATGATCATTAGGACACAGCTTTTTCCTTCCTTTATCCTTCAGACAGCTCTCAGAGAAGCTCTCTACCATGTCATTTACACACCTCCTCTGATAAAAAGACATCAGTGTTACTTGGCACTTAAATTAGGTAAGCGTGTCATTTGCTGGCTAGGCAAATAAATACGCTTAAAGGAAAACATAAAGCTCAACTTCTAGGGCTCAGCTCTCTACTGGTGAGTAAAAAACATGCAATCTCAGCAATACAGATACCTATAGGACAGAAAAATCTACAAATATACTGAACTCGTAACATGAAAATAGTGCTAATTTTGGCATCACTTCTCAAGCTAGAGGGAGAGCAACATCCAACTACTAAAAAGAATAAACGTTCGGGGAACGTTTCATTAAGTATCTCTATTATTCAGGCTGACAAAATACATGTAAGGTGCTTCCAAGTATTAAAAGAGTTATTGCAATATATCAACTGTAAATTTTTTTTTTGAAAAAGATAATTAGTGGCTGATAAATAAATCTCTCTACTACTGTGGAAAAAAAAAAAAAGCCTGTAACAATACACACTATTTTTACCTGAATACTAACCTAATAATTGAAATAAATAATTTTTTTTCAAGTATCTGCAGATTAAATATTAACTGTATGAGACTAAGCTTTGCAGTATGTTAAAACTTCCACATCAGTGCTTCACACACAGTACAGCAGTACATCTTTTAGATGACATCAAAAGATCCTGACATTTTCTCACCAGAATCCCATTCTCTGCTAATAAGAAAAGTAGCATCACTCAAAACTGCAACCTTGCAGAGGCTCTAAAAGATATAGCAAGGTTTTCACATTGGTTAATAACTTCAAAAACAATAAATACAATGCCTCATTCCCCAAGATAAAGTAATTTTTGCAAACATGCCTTCAGAAAGTAATGGCTTTTATTTAATAAACAGCTGTGAAATTTCAGATAGATGGTTTATGTAAGTGTAAACATAACTCCTCAGAAACAAAAAACCACTTTTTTATTCTGTTCTAGAGATAAAGATACCAGTATGTCTTCTTACATATTCTTACGCCTGTGTTGTATCCGGGTTTGAGGGTGGGCTTTTTTATTTACTGAAATTTTTTTTGGCTACTTACTGTCATACTCCGGTATTCATCTTCAAACATATCCAGAAAAATTTCTTCTCCCTTTCAGAAAGGGGGATATAGACATATGAATCCTTATGGTTATGGAGCCATCTGTTTTCTTGGCTCTTAATTATTTTCTTTGGTAAGCTACAAATTAAAAATGAACCCTGTGCCACATCTTTCAGCAAATATTCCTCAAGAGCATTCTAAAAAGAAATATAACATATTAGACATTTGAAAACTGTCATGAATTTACTGCTCCTTATATAGGAGTTAATGCCTAGAGCTAAACATTTTACTTGTCTCAAATTGTTTACAATATGATAGAAAAGCTGCAGATGTCTCAAAAGTATAAAAGAAAAAAAAAGTTTAAATAAAATGAGATAAGATGCAACCAAAAAGCAATACCATGAAAGGAACATCTTCCATATTAGCATTAACAATAAAATCCCAGAAACATTTTTCTGAGGTTTGTTTGGTTCTGTTCCATGAAATACCTAGGAGTTGCAACAAAGGCATACGACTGCTCATTTGACCTCTAACACAAAGCCTTTGAGATTTCTAACAGTCCTTTTGCAAAGTCCATCAGCAGGTTAGGGGAGAAGAGGGAAACAAGAATAATCCTCCAATTGAACACTTTCTTCCCTGTCACAAATACGAATCCACCCCCCTGAAAAAGCCACCAGGGGCACTAAGCAGAGATTGGGTTACAGACTTGCTTCTAATTCCATATTACGTAAATGACTTACGGCATACACACCTTGTAAAAACGTCGCAGGAGATGAACACTTTCTTCTCTTGCACCCTAGAAAAGAGAACATAATTTTGTTTCAGGTAGTAAATACTCAATTTACTCAAAGTCCCTTTAAAAAACAAAATAGAACCCCCAAACCAAAAAACCCAACAAAACAGCACACCAAGCCAACACTTTCAGAGCAAGCTATGTCCCCATACTCATAGCTTTCAGCCCAGAACTCAGTAGAAAACAGTTCTTTCAAAACCTCTCTTCATTACATTGTGGAGATGTCTGACCCAGAAATTGTACAGAGAAAATAAAAACATAATTACATCTGAGAAGTTAAGGGTTTAAATAGCGAGGTAACAGAAAACGGAACACTGGGTATCAAGTCTTTAATTTTGCTGCACAGAATCACCTATTGAAAGGTGTTCCAAAGGCTCAAACGTCATGTTATGCTTTTTGTAATCAAATACGAAACAAATTCGTTCAACTATACAACAAGATTTAGACAAGTAATCTTGGAACTGGTAATCTGAAAAAAAAAAATACTTACCTCAAGGCAAGCAAGGTGAACATCTTTTATGATGCTGCCATTTTTAGAAAATACAAGTTGCTTAAGCAACAGACAGCCGAGTTCTAGTGTTGCCAAACGGATTTTTCCATCTACGAAAAGAGAATTTCAATATACAAAATAGAAGCAGTGTAAATACTGCTCTTTTCATTACTGGATATTTTCACAGGTTTCCACTCTTCTCTGCAATTGTTATAAACCTTCCTTCTCTGCTAAGGACGCTTACCTGACAAAGAAGGGTGCTGATGTGGATACACAATGCTGACAGCTATAAAGAATTCTTCCCAATTACTTAGAGTAATCAGGAAGAAACTTTAACACAGAACCACTCAAAAAGAAGGATCAACGTCATAAGCGCAGGGGAAAAGCGCTATGGCTTAAACAAAAAAAATCATGTTTCCATGGACTACTTCATTGAGCTTTCTATTCCTGAAAGCATAATTTCACAAAAAATGAAGTCAAGGAGAAATGTCTTCTGCAAAACAGTTCAGAGCTGAATATACAGTCTGTGATTAAAAAGACATCATAGACAAAGGGTACCAGCAATTTTCTGTTTTTTTTTTTTTTTAAAGACTTCACTGAAACTAGCACTGCAAGCAAAAGGCACCTCATGTGCCTCATGAATCATGTTTTCAGGATGATGCTCTACATTAAGAGAGGTTCACTTGCATCTCTTTCATCATTTCTTGCTGGGTATTTTGCTTACTTAACAAAGCAGAAAGTAGGAATTAAGACAACAGACCTCTGTACAGACCTGAGCATAAAAGCAATTATTCAGAAGAAATGCAGAGTTCCTGATTACTCAGCAACTCAGGGGAAAACTGACACTTGTCTTTTATAGTCCATATCTACTTATTGTTTAGCAAAGAACATGCTAAGCAAACCTTCCCACAAAATAAAGTGCTGGCTAGACTCTTGCCTTATTTTAAGCATCTCCAAAAATTTCAGCTTGGCAAGATGACAGATACTAGAAACGTGATACCTGGTTGTGCAGCATAATTCATTATCCTGATAAGGCCCTCTGCAAGTACATGATTATATGAATTTCTCTCTTCAGCATGTTGAGCTGGAAGTTGAATTCTGTCCAGCTTGATTGGGTCAATTCCTTTTGTGGGAGGATGAAGGAAGGGAAATAAAGAAGAAAACAGGAGTATGATTCAGGGTAAATACTTCATAGTGTACAACAGTTCTCTTGCAAGAGTATAAGCAGCAATACAAAACTATGCAAACTGGTTCTGCACTTGTCTCCAATACAAGAAAAATGAGGAACAAAAAGACTAAACAAACTTGTATATCACTGTAAAATGCCAGACTTAAAAAAGCCTACTAGCAAAAACACTGAAGTCCCAACAAAACAGTTGGGGATAACTAAATCCTTTTGCTCCATCTGGAATTATTACACCCTCTGTTTGCATCTAAATCAAATCAAAGTCAAGACACATTTGAAGAACATAAGGGCTAAAGGAAGAAAAGATAAAAGTCTGATTTTAAATTCTGGTTTAATAGTAAGTGATTAGTTCACATATAATGTAGAAACATAGGAATTTTACTTTGGAAATAGAAGCCTGTTATTCAGGGGACATCCCAAAATCCTAAATCACAGATTCTCACTGACTTGTGGTATTAGGAAACTAAAACTGTCTTTTCTCAACCTATTCCTGTAAAACAGTAAAGTTATTTCTCAGAATGGGTTGGTTCCCAAAATAGATTGGTTACTGTAAGAGGTCTTAAGTAAAAAAGTTATGGATTGCTGAGGATGTCATTGTCCTTGTTATAAGGAATAATAAACCCGCCTCTAAAATAGAAGAGCAGCGTAGCCCAGTTAATTTTTTTCCAACTCAGAACTCATAGTTAACTTCATATACCAATACTATTTGTGATACACATGTGTAATGAAGAAGTAAATCAGGTATTCGGAAAAATCAGTACAGGCTACCTTAAAGATTAATGACAAGTTATACAAGTGTTCTCTGTCATACCAAGACTGACAAAAAGAAAAAAAAAAAAGGAAGCATTTAAGGCAGTTAGTAGAATATTAGTTTTCACAATAAACTAAGAGTTTACTAAAGAGTTACAATTTTCCTTCTGGAAGAAAAAACTGCTTAGAGTAACATACCTTACCTGTATGCAGATTAAGCTTTCACAGAGAAACATGGCCATTAACCATCAGAAAGCCATTAAGTAGACTGAGAAAACAAGGCAGGGGGAGGAGACAGAACTAAGCAGGTACCCTAAAAATTGTCCCAACTGAAATCACTATGAAGGAATTAGTATTCAGCATCTTTCATTTGATTGTCTACCTGCAAAGGATGCAACAGAGTCCTACATTCTTGAGATACAGTACATGCTCTAGGATCACATATGAAGGGCTTCTTTGGGGATTAAAAACGTCTAGGGCACAGTCTGCAAAGAATCTGTTCAGCTGCATTCACATACCTCTTGGGATTCTTTTCTCCTGTTCACATGGATATTTCTTAGTGGTGAGAAACATGGACGTTTTCTTTAAACTCATTCAAGAACGTAATGCAAAATGCATACTGAAAGTCCAAATGGAAGGATCCTCAATCAAGCGCCTCACTAGAGGTCTGAGTTTGAGAAGCCTGCTCCTTTAGAAGCTAGGCCTGATACCAAAATTCTTGGTTAGGCTAGTGTAATTCATATTATTTTAATGTGCCCTGTTGTCCTACTCTTTACACTGCCAGAATTAGAAGGATGGGGTGAGAGGTGAAGTTCAAATTGTCCAGCCAGGAAATCACAAACACATCTGAAATGGGAGTATGCTGAAACAGAAAATCTACAATTCATTCTCCTGGGTTGCAGAGAAGACAGTCTTGTTTTATGTTCAATCACAAGAAGGCATCCTATGCTTCTTGTTCAAACACATAGGTAATGAACTGACTCAAGTGCTCAGTAAGGCATTTACCCTCTGTCAGATGGGCTAAAAACCAATTGATCAGATCCTAGACAAACAGGAATAATCTCCCAGAGATTTGCTGCTTTCTGAATCATGGGAAACTACTTTGCACTTCCACATTTTCTTAAATAGATCATCACAGGGACATTGTCAGCTACCACAGAATTTGATGCCCCTTTATAAAAGGGTCACTGGCCCTTACCTTGAGCAAGGCTGCACGGACAGGTTGCTTGCATTCTACTGAATGCAGATATAAAGATGGGTTTCAATCCAACCCTGAGGTACCTTCCATGATGACCCTGATACTGAACTTGGTGTAGGGAGGAACTCTTCTACAGAAACTGCTGAGCTTGTGAAGAACATTTAGCTCATGCGAGTCAAACAGAAGCTCTAGAAGTCAGCAGACTAAAACCTCTCCAACACACAGAGGGACTGATTGCGTGGCTCCTAAGGCTGAAAGCAATTTATTATAAGGGACAAGAAAAGCATGCTGGTGAAAGACAGTCAAGAGCAAAACTGGATCTCATTATCTGTCAAGCACCTAAGCTCTAGACAGTGTGGGGTGGTGGTGGTGGTGGTTAGGGTTTGCTTCCAAAGAGCAACGTGCTAATATAAGTTGTTGACCTGGAACACTAACGAGTATAGCCTGAATATTTGTTCACTTAGAGACAGCTGACGTGACTGCTAAAGAATGAAGTGCCAATTTTGAGCACTTAAATGCATAAAATGCATCTAGGTATCTTCAGTTGCAGGGCCAAAAAGTTTCAGCCTCTTGAAATGTAGCTATTTCACTGCCTCTTGTAGTTTTCTCATTAACCAAAAATAAACAGCATAGAGATTGCTGAAACTATGGAGCAACAAGCTCTATCTGCTGCATTCTTCACTGTTTACAGCAATTCCCTACATGTAAGCAAATCATCTTTGACACCAGAGAGCATAGCCAACTTTTTTTCCTAGGAGCAGGACATCAAAGGATGACTTTATTTAAACTGAAAGTAAATACAGTGGGCTGAAGGATCTGCTGTTTTATGGTCTTAAAAAGAACTCTCAAGAAATTCAATCCTGGTGCGCAGGCCACCTCCTGTACTCCTTTATAATGGCCTTAAAGGACTGCTGAGAACTCTCCTGAAGCTGCACAGTTACAACTAACAACTTTGGCCATGGTAAGAAAAAGAGAACCCATCTCTAACACTGGGATTTTATAGCACAGTCTTGATTCTCAAAAGTCCCTGAAGAGCAAGGCATTTTTCTAGAGGAAGTATATTGGTTCTAAGATCAGTTTTTTGGGAGAAAAACAAAAATCCACAGAGGTTAAAGTCAGAGAGGGCTAAAGCATGGCAAAGCTGTGGTGCTGCCTTTGGTGATAATAGTTGCACTGCTGCCTGCTTTCTTAAGAGCCTGTGAAAGCCCTGAAATTCTCTGCAAATGATCTCAGAGAAGCATCCCTTCATTCCCAGAGAAAAACGTCTGAGAAGCCATCAAGAGACTACGTCAGAGCAAGAGGGCGCAACTTTGGTTCCAAGAGTATTTAGTGGGTGAAAGAGCAACGTATGTGCTCAAGACTTGGAAGAAAATAAGACAGAGATAAAGAGAAAGTAACAGAGACAGAAAGGGACTATTTGAGGGCCATGGTTGGTCATTTTATATTAGTTGTTTTAATAGGTCACTATTATTACTTGTAGATATTATAAGAGAACAATGAGGGAAGACAGATAATTCCAGTTTTAAGAACAGGACGCTGTCCTGTCAATCTGAGAGCACCAGTTGCTTGCTGGGTAAGAAAGGGGCCCTGTGCTTCTGCTTCTTTGTATAATCATAGTTTAGACTTGCTAAAGGTGGAAGAGAAATCTGAAGGCACTGGTAAAATTGGTAAGTTTTGCCCAAACATTTGACCAAAGTACACATACCTTGTGACTGTTCATATGGGTTGCTTTCCAAGCGATTTGAGTAATAACCAAAGAATTACTGCTTTTACCCATATTTCTCTAAGAGAGGGAGTTAATGGGCATCCCTTCCCATCTGAAGACTGACAGGAGAAGAATCAAGTAAAGTAGCAGCTAAGACAAGAACGGAATGCTGAAGCTTCCCGATACTTTGAATGAGCAGTATTTGCTTTAACTTGTCCAAGAAAAAAAAAAAACAAAACAAAACCTTATTTATTCCTATCCACAGGTACTTGTTCAAACAACTGTCAGGCTGGAAGAAAACTATCTGTTTATAAAAACAAAAATTTCCCTTCCTATAAAGCAATTATGAGAAAATACAAGCAAGACAGAGATGCTGACCTGGTTCCAGAGTGAGCCAGGCATAGCAGTATACTCCATTATTACATTAATGCTATAGAGAAGCATGTTAAATAACAGTCCGCCCCCCCCCCCCCCCCCCCACCCCCCATCACTCTCCCCCCCCTCCCCCCCCGAGTCCTTATATTTGCTATATTTGCTAGAGGAATCATAGCCACCTTCCAGATGCACTGAAGTGAACAAAGGCTAGCTTACACAATACAGTCTGCACGGGCATAATAGTCCAACAGAATGTTTCCACTGTGCTACCAAATAGGATGCTGCTCAACAGCATTCTAATATATTTTCTGTTCTCTCCAATCAACTGGACAGAGGCACTTAAGACAATACATCTGTGTAATTGAATAGCAGTATAAGGGTTTGGAGTTGGTTATTCAATTTACTGTAGTTCATCCAGCACTGAAAGAGACAGCCAGCTCGCTTGCCCTTCCTGAAAGAACCTTCCCAAAGCTTATTGGCAAATAAGTACCCGATCTCATATAAACATAAAAAAAATTGCAACGCTTATTTACCAGTCACAGTAAAAGTCAAATCAGATTAATATCCTTCAAAGTCAACTGTAAATGTACAGGGCAAATATTTGCAACTGCAAGCCAGCAACCCACATAAAATGACATTTGTAAACATACATCAATCCAAAACGTCACTTTAATCGCCTTCCACAGGTCCTGAGCTGCTGCAGCTACCAGTCTCCCACCCCTAACCTATTCAACGTCATATATCAGTCTCATCACACCCACCTCAGAACTGTTGCTGCAATACAGAGATAGACATTCAACAGGGAAGACTGTTTTTTCTTTGAATAATGCCACAAATTCTCTCAATCAGTTTAGTAACCCTCCTAATCCTAAAGGAAAGGGCTACCAACAGTTCAGTTTCACTTCTTTTCTTGCAAGTCCATAAATATTAAGTTTTCTTGCAGAACTTAAAATCTCATAGACCAAAATTCAGTTCATGAGTCTTCTCCCTCAAGAGCCTCATCACCATTCTGCTTGCCTTTTGGAGGCACCTTGAAGCTAGAGCAACATTCTTACTTGTGGGTGGCCATCATACTCATTGCCCTTTTGCTCAGCTCATTGAAGCAGCTCATTGTGTTTTCAGTATAAAGCTCTATAGAAATTATTATAAGCAGAAAATAACTTAAATTCAGCTCTTGATTCTTGAAATAAATGATTATTCACATGAATGAGATACTCACATAAAAAAATATATTTGAAATGCAGACAAGAAAGCTAGTAAGTTAAAAAATAAAAATCCAACCACAATCACCCCTTAGGAAAGGTTACATAATCTCAAATCATATCAACTATAACGGGCTGCACTTTTAAGATAGTTTTGCTAGTTTGTAAAACAGTCCAGGCTCCTTGGGAGACTTGGGAGGAAGTCAGTGTTTTGTGTCATAAAACAACTTAATAGCTTAAACAAGCCTTCAGTCAATTACAGTACAACATATGAAAAGGCCGTTGAGGAATCGCATGGTAGAAAAAAATAGCTGAAGGTCTGGCAAGCTGAATGCAAACTGGCAATAGCTGACTTCCATAATAAGATCTGATTCTCAAGCCTTGTGCATCATGCAGACATTTTAAGCATACAAAGATTTAATATTAACACATGGGGACAGGTCTTGCAACATTTTATGCTTAGACTACATGTAGCCACCACAGTACATGAAAAGTGGGGAAGAATCACAGAAGGAAGAATCACAGGGGAAGATTCAGACCCCTTATATATTCAGACTGAATATAGTGGCCTTCAACTGACATTGAGAGACTAAAAATGAAACACAATAATCCTATTCCAGTTCGAAGAAACTGTCATAAAAAGGAGATCCTTAACAACTTTTTACTTTCAGCACACTTATTTTCCCTCCTCATATTTTGTAAGGAATTGCTCACCGTTTAAAGCATGTATAAACATAACGTTAAATAGGCAGCATCTGACTGTTTACAAAAAAAAGAATCACCGTGACTCATTTAGTTTTCTCTAGGAAGAACAAAATTTCTTACCTTTATTGTGTGACATGGCATACAGAAGACAGAGCACAAAGAGAGCATAGTAATCATCTTCAGCACAGTCCAGTGCATTATAGACCATATCGAGAAAAGGCCTGTGGAAAGGGTTAACTTTGAGATGATGGAGAACAAAAAGACCATGTTTGCAGCAAAATGAATAATTGGTTATCCTATTCTACATGTAGCTAATGAAAGAAACAAACCTACAGTGATGCATGGCTTCAGGCATTAAGCAAGAATTAACCATTGTGAGATCAATCAGATTACAGTCATAACTTGTATTACTTTTTCTGACATTTTAACAGGATGTTACACAATACTTTCCCAACTAGTAACTGTTCACACATCTATGGGGTCTGTTTCTAGCATATTTATTACGTATGCAGAAGTGTTCTACTGCTTGCTGTAATGGTATACACGGGTAACTGTCCAGAGCTGCTACCACTGCGGCACGGAAAATGACTACCTTAAAACTCATGCTATACCAGCGTTGAAATGTTTTTACTTCTATAATAAGAAAGCTATTTTCACTAAAAGTTTAGAGTAGGCTAGGTTATACTAACAAAAAAAGTACCAAATTTTATAGTCAGTCAGTTATAGAAAAAACATAGAACAAGGAAGGAAAATTGGAAAGGGAAAATGAAAGCTCTGAACTGTAAAAGTTTTCTTCCCTGGTTTTAAGACTATGCAATCTATGACGTGAATACAGAAAACTATAAACATTCTTGAGTTCACTTCACCTGTACCCTGAAAAGACCAGAAAAGTCAATTTAATCCAGAAGCCGTTTAGACAGACCAGATGTGGCTGAGATTCAGCTGGTATTAGCCCAAACCTGGTGGCAAGGCAGCTGGGCTTCTTGTCTTGAGCTGGCTTGCATCCAGTCAGCTCAGAGCACCGTCAGAAATTGAATCCTCTGATCCGTTTTTACGGAGCAAGTGGCCAGGACACACAAGATAAGGAAAGTCACAGAATCACCAGAAGAGCTGGGTTTAGAACTTTGATTTAAAAAAGTGATAAGAATAACTTCTTCACTGAGTTTTAAAGTGCTTTCTTTTTTTAAAGAGTGAAAAAATCCTTATTTACATAACATGTTTCTGATACTTCCTGTAGCAATACACCAGCAATCCGAAATATTTTAACAGAGTAACAACATCCAAAGTAGGAAAAATAAATTTTCCCACCTTCAGACAGAGCAGTTTAGAAGCATTCACTACAAACTCACTGTTGTAGCTAACTGAAGGTCAAAAGGGCTACAGAATCCAACATACTTGTACAGGTATTTCAGATCTGTGGCACTCTCATGGTCATACTTATGTAAACAACTCAACTGAAGTCATAGCGATGTATTTGACACTTCCCTTCAGCTCTGCAACCATTTCTACAACATGCTCTCTTCCGCTAGAGCAAAGCTATCACAACAGTAACAGAACACACTGTTCCTCTGGTCAGTTCATGACATTGCAGCCACATAGTCACACATTTTGGATGTTAGATCACAAGCATCCTCTCTGATATAGTTAACTGACACTGAGTTACAAATCCTCTATACTCAAGTTCAACTTTGTTGTACTTAGCTAAGCCAAACTTCCCAAATGACATTCCTACTGTAAAAGACATGGAGAAGATAACTATTTGAGCAAAAGCAACTTAAAATATTAACAATATTGAAAATAAACATTTCAAATAATAAATGAGATTACCTTCAGTTTTCAAAGCACTCTCTAAGCATTAAACAAGCCATAAAGGCCTCACAACATCCTAAAATGGGGTGTATTACACATAGCCAAGAGAGTTCAAACTCAAGGTCATTAGCAGAACCGAGATATCCAGGCTCAAGAACTATTTAAATACTGAGTTACTTAAATACTAGACAATTCTAGGTTTGTTGCCAGACCAACAACTGATGGTAATTACCCCCAAAATAGACCTGAGAGGTCAAAGTCATATTTTAATTTTAGTAAAACCAATGGTTTATGAAGTCAGCTGCAGAAATACCAGTAACCCTTCCATCAACACTAATTTTATATTCTATTAAACTATTTCTATCATCTCTAATGCATTTGTCATTGTTTTTCCCCCACATATTATTTAAGATTTTTTGAATTACACAATTTTATGAAATCCAGAGAAATATGATCATAGCAGTGAGATGAATAATTTTCATGGTAGATGCTTTTTCATAGCATCTGTCTTTATCAGTATTATCACAGCGTATCTGAATAATCTATAGCCCAAACAACTTCTAGGAATCCCCACTCTCACTAACAGATCCCTATATAGGCTATATACAGCACAAACAGAATTAACTTCAGCTGAAAGAAAGCAGCAACAAAAGGGATAAGGTGGCATGAACGTATAGTGTTTTCCAAAATCTATGCTATGTAGTATATCATAAAAGGAAGTCAATTTAAAATAACCCTTAGCCTTAATCTACCGAGGAGTAAGGCACAAACTCAAATGGCACACAAAATACTTAAACTTTTTCCTTTTAGTATTCCCTCCTGTACTAAAAGGGCTAAGGGCAGTTGAAAGCTCGACTTACATTTTACATCTATAGAGTTTCACTATAAACTAAAGCCTTTTTCATTTGTCTTTCTACCTCTATTGTCCATTTTTTTTAAAATCACTTTTAACATCAAATTATAGGGTGTGTGGCAACTATTTTTCAGAAGTATTGCATAATTCTGAAACTATTTTCTTCCTTTATTAGTCTTCTATGAATGACTTCTTATAACAATCAGATCAGATGCCATAAGAAAATTCTTCAAATTATTTATTTTGGCCCCAGTGGAGCATCTCCACAGTTGAAAAATACAACTCATTAGGAATCAATATCATCATACGTATCAGTTACTACTCCAGTTACAAAATTTTCCCCCACTTGCAGTATGAGATAAAACGTTTTCCACTTTCCACTACTGCGTTGGACCTATTACTTTGGTATCACTATGAGTGTTGTAGATAATCAGTGAAGGAAAGAACCTCTGTATATTTAAACAACATTTCTGAGACTTAAGTATCATTTTAAATACTATATTTGGGATACAGAATACTCCCAAAGCTTAAGCTATAATGGTTCATCTTCCTATTACTTTCAATAATTCATTTTAATAAAAGCAGCCTAGCATATGCACAGAACTAAGACCAGAAATACCCTACATAAGGTCTATCCTTATCTTTAAAAATATTTCAGTCTTGCAAGTTTTTTTGATGCTATTTATTTTTATAAAAAGTGTAGGATATTTTCAGGTCGCTACATACAGACTCAACTGTCCTGAAATGCAAACATCTGCCAAATGCATTGGGATCTCACATGTAAATGTTTCACATCTTTAAGAGGTAAACATCCTGGTTGCTTCAGTATTCAATGCAATCAATGACAATTTCATTCTGAAAGTAATTCTGGCATACTTAAGACAAAATATCGCTAACCTACAGCAATGTATTTTAAAAATCGTTCAAGTCTAAGTTCAATTTCACTTTTAATTCAATGAAATTGAATTAAAAATATTATTTTTACTAGTTAATGTAATCTAAGCTAAGTGACACACTTGCAAGTACTTTCATGTCAGAGATGACAAGTTCAGTTTCTTATTTTTAACGTTCTAAAAATAAGGACACAGCAGAATTCTCACACAAAGTATCGCATGTGCATTTAATACATTAAAAAAATAATCACAAATAAAAATGGACTAGACTGCATTACCAGTTTCTATTCTGAAATCAGGAGAATTTCTGTTCCCCAAAACCACTGAAAACTGAACTTTATTCCTTTGTTTTGAAGATATCACCATACAAGTTAACAGCTTTCAAGATGAATGCAATTTCATTACTTATTCTATAACAGTTTCATTTAAAGAACAGCTCCTCTTAAAAAACAATGACCAAGAGAAGTGTTCAACAATCCTAAGGCACCTCAGAAATTGTACGTAGGTTAGCAGGGCTTATTCATAAATACTCACAACTGAAATTTTGCAATATTCAGCCCTAAACCAAGGAATTCTTATTTTATCTTTTTGTCTATAGGAGCATAAAAAATTGACAGATGCGCAAATAAAAGTTACTAAGAAAACTGTTTTTCTAGCTGAATTCAGAGGTTTTGGGAATTTTGGAATGAAAACATCTTTCATGAACACATTTAATATTCTGTTAATATGTTTAATGTTAGCTACTTAAGGCATCATAATTGCCTTAAAAGAAAGCACAAAGTTTATGAAGAAACTGGACCATAACCCAAACTGCTCAGTGGGGAGGCTATATTCCATCTTCCTATTGCCTCACTTACTTTTGAGCCACAAGAACCCCTGTAATTTTAATTCAAAGCAAATTTCAGGCGTCCGTTAAGAGGAATGATTGAAGTGACAAAGAGCAAGCAAGAAAGCAACCCAGCAAAATAAATTAAAGTTCTTTCTTACCTATTCCAGTTTGTTATCTCATTCCCAGAGGCAGCTGCACTCTTTTCTTCATCTGTTGTATTCTGTTCTGTCACAGTAGAGACAGACAACTCTGACAGTTTACATCTCTCCATGATTACCATCTCTATTTCTAAAAAACAAAAAAATATATTTTTAACAAAGGATTATTGCAAGCTTTTTTTATATTTTACATTTTGCATTAAAAGCAACTAATGCAACTATACGTAAGAGGTATACGCCACAGACTTAAAAAGGTTAATGAATACCTAGATTGGGATTTTCTTCCCAATACAAGAAGAAAGGCTCGCTCACTTTAAAGATTTAAGAAACTGAAGCGCTATATAAAGAAATACGCAAATTATTTTGGAAAATAAGTAACTGTTGTTCCATTCCCCTTTGAACCATATTAAGAACATTGAACAAGCTTGAGGAAAAAAACTTCTTAGTGAAAATGCTGGTAGAAGTGCATTGGCAGGGCAGGAAGAAGGGGAGTCAAGTTCAATAGAGGGTATAAATAGGTTCCTATTATTAAACCAAATGGGATACCTTGTCCTGAGTGCTTCATATCTATTAGCTGCAAGTAGAAGTGCTAGGACAAAATCTAGCTTTTACTCAAAAAATTAAGACAAAGACAACTACTATATTCACCAGTTTACACAGCAGATTACATCCCGTTTTCTTCAAATTATAGAATAAAACAGTTATTTGACACCATTTAAGGAAAACTGGGATCCCGGAAAGTCTTACCAGATTGTTTACCTAAATCAAAATACAATCATGTTTGGAGAGAGCTGTCAAAGCATAAAGGTTTTGTTTTGGTTTCCCTGTACGCAGTTAGGCTATGTTTTTCTTAATTTCTTCAAAGTAAAGACTATTTTCTTCTAACAGCTACTTAACTTGTAAAACAAGAAATTGTGGCATGCTTTTTAAGTTCACGTACCTATAAAAAAATAGTTGTTCTTGTAGTTAGCATTAGGTCAAAAAACCTGAAAGTGATGAAAATCTAAAGAGCTTAAAGATGTTCTCTTTAATTTTGAACTGTAAAATTCAACAAGTCAAAAGTGACAGTATGTGGTGAAGACGGTATTTATTCATTAAAACATGCATAAAATACTGTTGAGCATCTTCTAAAGGTAAAGTAGCTACACCATTTGCCTTATGACAAAAAATAGTTAAAGTCATTAAATCTAATTAAAAGTGCTCAATCACATGCAACTATCCGCAAGTCTGGTTGGTTTTTTTTGTTGTTGTTTTTGTTTTTTTTAAACTAAGGGTCAAATACAATAGGAAGAAATGAAAAATCCTTTCATATTTTTTAATCAGATCATGTTTTAAAAGATCATGTTCTGATGGCGTGATTTAACAACAACAAAAATCCAGAAAAACACACCCAAAAAGGAAAAAAAAAATTAATTATGTCTATGTTTACCCAGTACAATAAAAGAATGAAAAGTCATTTAACAGATCAAAACTAGGTCTACACAATGAGTAACATTATCCAAATTGTGAGTATCGTTTTTATTTATCGATATACTTACCTTCATTTTCACTGCTTGTTCTGATGCCCTTTGAACTCCCTTCTGTACCTTTAGTTTTATCAAGGTCATCCTGGGAATCCTCAGATCCTCTCTCTTCTTCATCTTCTTCACCAACATTTTTATAGTTGGGTCTTTTCTGCAATCTCTTCTTCCCCTTCTGTTTGTTAATTTCAAGAGACCTCTCAAGAGTTTCCGTTGGTTTTATGAAACATCTGATACTTGACTTTGCCTGCAAATTTCAATAGTTCATACTGAGCTAGAGAGACATTTTACTACAGTTTATAAAGAAACCAGTTCTTACAAACAGGACTTTTAGAATCACTTATAAATCTCAAATTACTATTAAAATACAGGAAAGCAGACCTCAGCTGAACTGAATCAAACCATTACTAGAACAGAATTACCTGCAAAATAACGTACCCTAAAGATTTAAAATTAAGAAGCATGCCATTTTGGGACAAGAAGATATAGACTCATCTGCTTCATCAATAACAGTTTCTTAAGAAAAATTAAAGTTTTCCTCTTTCTAAAGTTCAAATAATGAACTTTACTCTACAGGTGAAGTAGCTTATGCATACAAAAATTACCCTATTCGCAGAAGATGTTTTAAAGACAGCTAAACCAAAAATGTGTGTGAATAGCAAGGGATGAATATGGAATACACTGCTTAAAAGTCTTATGCATTAATGAGGATAAAAATCAGTGCTCTATGCTGCAAGTTTTTTTGGAATCTAAACTTCCTTCAACTACATATGAGGCTTGTGCCAACTACCACAAAGTCTGGCAACTGAAATTAGCTCATTTATTAGGCTTAAATATACTTGTCTTCTATCCAAAGATATCAGTAGTTTGTGTTTCAAGTCAAAACAATGATTTTGGACAAGAAAACAAATAGCATTCAATACATACCTACTTTCCTGAAGATTTATTTATAGAACAAGAAAACGTAGATAATGAATGCCTCCCAGAGGAGATTAGTATTTCCAGAGATTACAAAAAGTTCTGTGACTAGTGGGACTAACAAAATCTGGTTTGGTATGTTTTTGTGGATAGTTTTGGAACTGTGATGTTTTAAGCTTCCTTCTCGCGGCACGTTTGGCCTGCCAGTTGGATTACCAGAGCACACGCTCTCTCTTACCCAGAACCGTACAAACACTGATTAGCTACCAAACCTCTCGGCAGCCAAGCAGCAAAATGGACAGTTTGGGGGCCTCCTGCCCACACAGGTTTTTGCTGAACAAGGGAGTTATAGGAACATCATTGCCTTTCAGACCTTTATACCACAATCAGATTTAGCTGAAATTGGATGAAGGATTCAAAAACTTAAGGGCAGGCAAGAGAAAAGAAATATAAGAATAGAGCAAATACAAAACTGGGATTACGTTCCTTCCCTTAGGTGGCTCAAGTACAGGGAGCACTGAGGAGGAATGTGTTAGACAGATCTCAGAAAAAGTTTGGAAAAATCCCTCCCCTCACTTGATAAGGAACTCCTACATGGAAAAAGAGAATTAGAAAAAGATCTTGGAAGAACCCTAGAATAAGTCAAAAGGCTAAAACATTTTTCTGAGCCTGATTTGTTAAGAGTTTTTATAGAAGTCTTGCATAAATCACCCTATACTTGTCACCAAAACAAGCCACATAGTAGGAAGAACCTTTCACAATACCAAAAAAACCCAAAAAATAATGAAACAAGAAAAATCCCACAATGTGAAGTTTACCACACTCATCTCCCCAGTAACCTCTCTGATATATTTTTAGCCAGATCAAACTGCAACATAAGCAGCTTATAAAACAACTGGAATTGTTGGAATTATTTATTTTCTTTATATAAAGAATACAGGTACTTAACCTCCTTGCATTCCTAATACACTGTTAACCATGTAAGCAAAAGAACAGAAAAGACTATTTCATAACGATATGTTTTTGAGCACTAATCTATGGTCTGTTCAATCTGAAGAAAGAAAGTTTAGAATAAAGCCAATATATGTTCTTTGCTGTCAAATACAATATGGCTATATATTTCAAATAGTCTAAAATCAGAGTTTAAATTAGTTTACGCTGCCTATCGTTTATCTAAGCTGATCATACATTTTGAGATACTGCTATTTTACACTTTTAAAATGTCTTTCAACCATATTTTAATTTTGGTTTATCTTGAGCAATGCGTGCTGGTAAAATAAGGCACTACCAGTAATAACTTCTTACAGGAAGGATAAAGTAGGTTAAACAAAAATAAAAAAACAAAAAACAGAAAACCACACACAAAAAACATGAAACAGGTAGAACTGACCCACATCCTAATTATGCAGGAAAATAGATCTCACAGGAAATAAGGTAAACCTTAGTGTGATGACTGCCAAAATACATTATCTTAACTACACATATTCAATTCTCATCACGAAAAAACAGCCAATATTTCTACTGATACTACCTAATAACAGAAACAGCAAAAAAAAAAACCCAAAAAACAAAAAAAAAACATGAAGACCACCATATCTTAACTTGCTACACTCTGAAGTGGATTACCTGTTCATTTACCGAGTGATAACAGATCCATTTTACGGAAAGCTCCATGGGTTTTACTAAGTATCTATCCCAGAAATACAATTCCCCTATTTAGTAACTTTTCAGATGTGACAGAAATGTCATTTTATGCAATGTGAGGCCACATCTTTCTGACCTGTAAGGAGCAGCAACCTAAATACTACAACATAAAACAAACAGAAGTTCACAGGAAACCCCTACCATTCCTAATATTAATTCAAGCACACAAACATTCATGCTACAAATATTTTTCAACGCTCTACAGTAACTATGATAGGAAGGAAGAAAAAAAAAAAAAAAAGACACACACCTCACTTCTGCAACAAATGGTGCCCCACCCTCTAACCACAAATTTCCTAGCAAGAAGGCTGTTTCCGCACAAGTAACACGCCCAAAAACATTCAGTACGCAACTATCAGAAGGTCAGACATTTCCTAAGAGACTGCTTTATCTGAAAATATTCATTCAATCCCATCGTTCCTCCTTAAAGGCTCTTCTAAGCAAGATTAGATTCTAAAAATGAAGGTCAACAGCACAAATACTAGGACCCAAAAGCTATTGGCAAATGTCAGCCCAAATAGCTTCCACCATACAGTAGGAAGAAATTTGGAATAGTTGACTTACATGATAGAAGAGTTGAAGCATAACTCCCCCTTGAAACTTTAACAGCTATAGCTACTGTTGAGAAAGACTCTGTATATGCATCAATATAATGTTTGTTATAAATTAAGCATCAAGACAATAATATCCTTAACTGTCCAGTCAGACATTAGGAGCCATGTTCATCTTTTCAACAGAACTACAGTCAGAGGCCTCTTAAACAAAGTAAGGCCATAACCCCTTACTATTACTAACCCCAAACAAGCCTTTTTAAAAAAAAGAGCATTCGTAATCTGTGAAACCCACAATAAAGGAGAAAAAACATACATGAAACTCTTGGGGGAAAAAAATAGTAACAGCAGCATCCAGGAACATCTACATATGATTAAATCTGAAGGTATAAAGGGCAATGACAAAGTGATAAAATCCTCACCTATTGCAAGGTGAGGTCTTTTATGCATGCTGGTGGGCTTTCAGCGATGATCAGCCTTAACACTAAAATACTGAGAATGTTTAGATGAAAAACCTTATTTCCCTGTATATTAAAGGGATTAACCATAAATTCAGTTATATTTTACTAAGTCTCTCATTTCTGCTACAAGTTGTGTAAGGAAATAATTTTATAGGAAAGTTGTGATGATCGATCTGTATCTCACTACCAGGAAGTTGATAACTAAAATTGAAGGCAGACTGGACTGTAAGAATGTCTCATCAAAAGAGACGAAAGCCTCTGCAGTGTCTGAACCTAGCAGAAGGAACAAAGTATTCCAATTTGTGTGTCCTACACGTTCTTTTACCACCACCTGTGATACATATGCCATGCATAAATGCACAAATATTGTAATGTTGGCAAGTAAGAACACATAAGTTGCTCAGAGCACTTTACTGCTGTCACAGCAGTATAAAAGCAGAATAAAAGATAGTCTCCTGTAGCTTTTCTTCAGTCCTAAACACGATCACCTTAGCTTACCAGTTTCCAAATATCCAATTTTATTTTTCAAATATTTTATTTTGCCTCTTTAAGTTAAAAGAAATGGAAAAAATATGTATATTCAAACATTAGCTGGCCACTTACTGAATTTTTCTGAATATCTTGCTCAACTTTAGAAGAAAACACTGACAGGTCACCATTAAGAATAACCTCAGCCAGAGAGTTCACCAAAGGTGCATAATGTATAATTAGAAAAACCTGTTAAAAGAAGGGGGGGAAGAAACATTACACAGTACAAGACACATACGATTTCAGTCACTGAACATATTTCTTTTGACCTCATTAAATACCATTACCTTAGTTTACATTTAAGAAAAGTACAATTGGTAACGCTGTTCATGAAATCTACCTCACTAGACAGTAGATCACAACTGTCAACAACTAGATATTTGCCCTTTCTTTACATTTTAAATTGCCTAGTTTCCGTGATTCTGCATGCTCTCTTCTCCTTCTAAAATAAAGAAATTATCCCTCCTCATCAGCTTTGAGATTAAAGTTATGCAATATTCTAGCAGGGAATCCACATTAATACCACTTCATAAAAATGTGGTTTTGGGGCAACTATACAAAATTAAATAGGGTACACAGTATCCATTAACTTTCTTGTATGTCAACGACTGACAGTACTCCAGTACACAATCATTTTGCAGTGATTCATGGTTAATGTCATGCAGTAGGCTGATCTGATCTGGACAGAACCAGCTTGCATCTAGCCGCAAGAGTCATATACCCATTCTTTCCAAAGAAATATTGAGGCTGGATCTCTAAACAGTGGTTCTAGCTGAAAAGCCCCCAAATAATTTCCAAACCATTAAACCTGAGCATTGTTAGGACAATATTTAGTTAAACACAGTATCCACAGGTTTTCTGAATCAAGTCAGAACCATTACAGACATTCAAAGGTAAGGTGGTTAGTACTGAACAGAAGCCTACATAAAAAAAAACACTTTGGAAAGTTGCAACACACTTCAAAATACCTTGAACAACCTCACAAATCACTCAAACTTCTAATCCAGAAAACAGGAAGACCAAAACATCCTCTGTATAGTTCAAGCACCTTACATATTCACTTTGAAATAACCCTGGATTTCTATCTGCTGCTACAGGTGTTTCAAGCACTTTTTAATACATGAAGAGCTACAACTAATGAATATGTCTGACATCAGTAACTGAAATAATTAAAAAAGTTTTCAGATGCTTAGTGTATGCTTTTTCAGATAGGATGTTTTAGCATATATCCTACCCCCTCAGAGATGCTCTCTAGGTTTAAAAAAAATAAAGCGTTTCTGCCAGTTACAGAAAACAGCTTGATTTTTCAGACCACATCCCATTCTGATGCACAAAATTTGCTCCCCATTCTTCATCATTAGGAAACAGTGTTTCATTTTCTTTATTAAAACACACTTAATATAGATGCAAATCTTGAAGTGATATCTTAGCTAACACTCCCACTGAAATCAATGGGATTAAGAGAGTTTGAAGTATATAACACTTAATGACAAAGACTGCTTTAGTTGCACAGAGCTGTTGCTCCCAAGGTTTTATTTGTGGTCAATAACACTTTTTAAAAGTTTAGTGATATGGGAGTTAAATTAAGACACATCACATTATGTGTTCCTGACCAATCATTTTTTTTCAGATAAGTTTTTAAAAAGGATGACAATTATGGGCCCCACAATAATAAAATGACTAATTCACAATTTAAAAGAAAATAGTTTAAAAAAAATCTGTGAAGTTAATCAAAACAATTTTCAGAGAGCATAATTTCAGAAAACCATTCTCAGTTAAGCACAGAAGACTACAGCGAGACATTATTTAGCATAAGGTTTTTTTCTTCCATTGTCTACAACCAAAACAAAAAATAAAAAACAAACATCCTAAAGCTTTCTTCATTTGGAAAAAGTTTCAGAAAGAAAAGGATATGAGACTTGTGAGAATGAGAAATAACAGGTACTCTTATAATTATTCCAATTACTGCAAAGCAACAGATTTAAGTTATAGACAAACTGTGAGGAAGTTCAGGTGCAGCTGGGGAAAATGCAAACCTGGAATCCTCCAAAGCTTATGCAAGTTCAAAGTGCAATATACTGTCCATCTAAGTTTCACCTGCAATTTTACTAAATTCTGTCCTAGCATGTTGCATGGCTCTATTACGTGCTGTTTGAAAAAATGTTGGACCTTACAAACACTGAACGTGCTAAAAGCTGCCCTATATAATAAGATTCTCCGAGGAAAGATACTAATTGAAATGAGAGGTTAGTTGGTCCATCCATAATACAAACAAATGAGCGTCTCTTTTTTATTTTTTTTATTAAAGCAGATTTAAACAATACTTGCAAAGTTGTCTTTAACAGTTTTGCTGAAATACATCAAAATACAGTAGTTTCACGTACAAATTATGACACTCTTGCAAAACACATTCTGAAATAGGACAAAATAAGCTAAATACATACTTGAGAAAGAAGATAGAGAGAAACTTGGAGACTTATTTTTGGACGCTCCCCACCCTAAGGAAAGAAAAAAGTTATGAAAAACGCTGATTTACTTACAAAAAGTAAAGCATTTACACTATTTAATATCTTATTTAAAACAAAACATTGCGTTGTTCCACATTCTACATCCTACCACCAAACCTTCCAGAAAGCATCATGCCAACATTCATTTCTTGTAAACAATTTTGAAGACTCTCCTATTAAGCATACACATCTGACACTATAAACTTAAAAAAAAATTTATTGTTGTCTTTCATAGTTGCTTCTGCTAACGTTCTAGCAGCTGAAAAACTGAGGCGCATGTTGGTTTTTGTTCTGCCTGTATTTCTTCAAAAAATACTTTTCAGATAACGTTTAAAGGGTGTTCTCATATCTAGTTAGTCAGAAACAACCAAATATTACCTATATATTAAAAAAGGAGTTGTTGACAGACATTTTTCTAAATCAAGTAGATCACAGACAAAACAACCTTTAAGCATAATATGTAAATTCAATATTTTTGTGCTCAAGTTAATATTTATTAAGCTATCTCTAAAATACATTAGTGACACTTTAAAAAATCATCAAATTAATCAGTTATCTCAAGGGGGTAAAAAAATAGCCCAGTTTTACAATGATAATATCTCTGATCTCAGGCTAATAAACACATTTGCCTGAAAACAGGATCGTTGATTTTCAAGTACAAAAATCTGCAAGCTTTTGATTGCTTATGCATGAAAGGAAAGGGTTAGAACACCTGAAAATGAAAGTAAGGGTCAGGAAATCTGCTTTCTGTCCCATTTCAAATACATCCGATCAATGACAGGATGAGATGATGATCCCTATTCAGTCTTCAGTGCATAGGCAACGTAATAAGTCCATTAATCTTAGCTCAATGTAATGAAAATATTCTGAAATTCATAAAGCACTGCAAACCCTAAGAACAAACACCACTACAGAAGATTTAGGAGAACGGAAGGTGTGTGGGGGGGGGAACACCAATGAGCTTTTTTTTCCCCCCAAATGACAACTGAGTATAAGAACTTGGCATTTTACAAAAAAAACTCAATTTCATTAAATTTACTTGAAGCTATGTTTTGAAGGCCATATTTTAAAAATAAAGCTTCAACCATATCGTATTATATCACAGCTGTTAATAGCAGAGTCAAGTATCAGAAATAAGGTTTAAATTTCCAGTCTAAATTGGATTTTTACATTGTGGAAAAACTGTATGTGTATACTAGAAAAAGGTATTATAATCTTTTCTCACCAGGAGACTTGTAACCACATCAGAAAACAAAACCAAACATCTCCCAGTGTTGCAGAAACTCAAACCCAGATTCGAATTTATAACTCCTCTTGTCCTCACTATTGCTAACATTTAACAACCACATCATCCAAAATAGTACGTGCCTAAGTGAATAAAGCTTCATCTATTCTGTTCTTAGATTCAGTCTCAGAGTATTTCCCCACAGTCACCTTATTCAAACTTTCATATACAAGAACTTTGACATAAGCGTTATTAATCGCTACAGAATACACCTGCCAGACAAACCACTATACATACCAAAAGTAAAAAATCCTTTAAGACTTAAATATTGGCAGGTATCCCTTACCTTATCTTGATTGACTAATGAATACACATAGAGGGGAAGAAAGAGCCTATTAAGTAGGTGGTCTGTCAGCACATCATTTAAAAATTCACAGTTAATGATAAGGATATCATTAAGGTAATGCAAATGATCAAGATGTTCTGCTACCAGGTCACTCAGTTTGCCCCTATTTCTGTGCCTGAAAGAGAGCAGAAAAAGAAAACCTCAGATACAAACAATGGTAGAAGTGTTTTAAAAAACTTAATGACAGAATTTATATACATCTCTTCCACAGATGACCTTGTGCAGGTTGACTACCTGAAGTAGATGTTTTCAATATAGCCGCCTGAAGCAGCTAGGGAAGAGTATTCAGATTTGTATTTGCTTTAGGATGCACAAATAAATTTTTTCCCTGAGTTTTCAGAAGCAATATTTCCATGAAACTTCAGTTTCTACCTTCAGAGTCTTTTCAGAAGCCAATCATAAAAATAGTAAGGTTTGTTTCCAAAAGTAAAATAAATTTATGTTTTAATGTAACTTTTATCTCCCCACTTTAAGAAAGTGTGAAATAGCCGCCCATTCTAAGGCATGTGTATAGAACTAAGGACAACTTAAGCAACAAAATGTTTCTGTACTTGACAGTGGAATGTTACACAGGAATTTCAGATCTGACAGTTCAACTTTTAATTAAAAGTTCAAATTTCCGTATTACAATTTTTTCTAGAAAAGCTTTTCAGAATGCTGTTCTACTGATATAGTACACAGAGAAGGAACATTTAAAAAAGCAACGTTAATATGACTAAGAAGCACAAAATGCCATTTCTGTGTTCTGAATATCTATTCAACTTAGTGGAATCAAAACAAAGATGAGGAAAAAGCATACTGCTAGACAATAATTTACTTGTAAGGATATTAGCGCAATTAGGGAACACAGCACTAACCACTATTATTTCAAAGAATCACTAATATAACTTTGTGAGAGTTAAAAGCTTGAAGTGTGTACAGGGAACTGCACTGAGAAACTAACTTAACTGAACTACTACAGACAAAGCAAGGGAAAAGCACTTCTTTACAAATGCTGGAAATTGAATAAGCTTACTCTTCATCAGTCTGCACACAGTTATCCAGTTCTATCACGTGGCTTCCAATAAACCAAACAAGGTTGGAGAAATAAGGGACAGCAGTTTTATCTCTAATGTAATGCAGCATTGGTTGGTTGTCCACTGAAGAAAAATTGTTAAAGAGAAAAATCAGTTTCCAATTTCTTTTTTAAGAAATACAACAAAGTTATTTGCTGAATTTTGATTACATGCTAGCTTTTCATACAAGTATACACCTGAATTTATCTGATGCATGAAACAGGCATCTACAAAAGTTTTGCATCAACTCTCGAATGAGCTTAATGTTGATATATTTACATAGGTGTGAAGATAAACAAATCTAGTGGAATTCAGAAAGTTTTTAGCACATTCTTTATTAAAAAGAAGAGAAAAAGCATAAGAATAAAGCAGTAATGCTGAAAGTCAAGCTAGTTAGACTTACATGACACTGCATTAAGGAACACAGGAATCATCAGTGAAGGAAGGGCAAAAGAAACAGACAACAGTTAACAGGATTAGGAACTGGGATAGTGACATCCTCCAAAAGGGTTAAAAAAGCTAAAGCACGAGGCATCTAAACTAAAAGATATACGGTAGGCGTTAGATAAGAACATTTGCAAATGGTAGTCAGAAAATTATGAAACCTGAATGTCGCGCTGTTTTCAACTGTAACCTTCATAACATTGCAACATTCAGCTAAATATTCTTACCATGAAATATTATCATTTAGTTTAGTAATTATACACAAATAATGCATGAAGCCTGCACTTTGCTCTTTTTGTGAACTCATTCAGGCATACAGTTATTTGAAGTAGCAAACAAATACTACAATGCCTATTTCTCAGCATACAAGAGAAAGAAATTTTGTCCCTAGTGGTCAACACTATAAAAAAGGTACCCGCTATAAAGAGGCTATGTGGATTCTTTGTGTAGTGAACCGTTTATTGCTTTAAGAAAGATCTTACATTCTTATATGATGAAGACTGTCATCAAATCACTAATTCTCTTAATTGATAGAAAGCTGTGTTAAATTTGCAATAGAGTCAAATTAAAAATCGATGAAAGTGTAAGAAGCCCTGTATGAACATATTTCACGATGCCTTACAGCATGCTGGTTTCAGAGACAAATTCTGAATGCACACCCATTTTTCGCAGAAATCACTGTGGTATTTTCAGTCTATTGCACAACGAACATTTATAAACTTACAGAAAAATTGAGGTTAGAAGGGACTTCTGGAGGTCACCTAGGCCAAACTCCTTTTCAAAGCAGGGCCAACTTCAAAGTTGGATCAGGTTAGTTTGGGGCCTTGCTGAGTTTTGAAGATATCAAGTCATAGAGATTTCTCAGCTTCTCTGGGAATCCTGTTCTCATGCTTAGCCACTGTGAAATGTTTTTTCCTTGTGTCCAGTTGGCATATCCAGAACAGGAATCTAACTGCATACTATTTAAAAATACACACTCTAGCTTTGGGTTTCTGTTTCATAAAAATCAACATGTGCACTTGTAAAGCAAGCATATCAGCATGCTAAGGTTTTCAGTCTCATAACAGGAACTAAATTTAAAGATGTATGAAAATTAAACTATAATGAAACAAACATTTCGCACACATGCCTTTTTTATATTAAAAAAAAAAACCATACCTTTGTAGACATTTAAAGTTATAGTCCTAACAGCAATTCTGACCATGCTTTCTGGGTGGTTAAAAAATTTTATAGCTTCTGTATACAAAGCAAAGTCATTAGTGTGCTGTAACAAAAGGAAAGAAAGCATTATGTATTAACTGAAACTTGTAAAATCCTAGCAAATATTCTGTACGTGAAAAATGTTTTCCATGTATTGCTCAGATATTTTTAATTTTTATAAAGTAATTAAAATGGTTTAACAATGCAGAGTCAGTTGCAGTTGTAGCTTTGATATAAAATAAACTGCTTTAACCATCAAAGCAGTCCATGTTCACTCTGAGCATATTCAGAGTTTTGATGCCCTCTTTTGGCAGAAAGTGGTATGCAGAAAGAGGAAGAAAACATTTCAACTTTGGCCTCTGATGAACCAGGCCTTGCAGACTTGTAATAAGCCTCTTAAGAATTGAGTGGCAGAAAGGAAAAAAAAAAAATCCTGTTTAGAAAAGCATGGTAAGTAAACAGCACATAACAGGTTGAATTCTCAGTGAAGCAGACTTGAGAATCGCAGAAACAGTCAAAATAATACTAACTTTTAGATTTCAGTCACGCTGTAGCAGTACAAGGACAGGGACCTTCTTTTTTTAAATATGCTTCTCCAGAGATCATCACAAATGAATTCTCAATCACTGATATTACCATAATAAAAATAAATTTAGAACAAAGTCATGTTGAGACTGAATGGAATACACCTCAAACTGGTATCAATTTTTACTCAAACTCTTTTCATCCTTATACTGCAACTCTTTCTTCACTTACCTCATTATAAAAGAAATGTACAGTATGAATTTT